TAACTTCATTTGAAAATGACATCAAAAGTTCAAATTTAAAAATCTAAACGGGTGGCTTTAAATTACTATGAAGCCCAGGCAAGTTGGCCTTCTCAGATACTACTATATTGGCTATAACAGGCCCTCCTGGCTGGGGCTTCTCTATTGATCCTGGGTTGCAATATCATACCTCCACGGAGGATTTCTCCCACCTGGTAAAAACAGCTCTGCTTCTAGGCTCAGAGCATATATCTGTCAGATATGTCCCAGTGCCCATTCCCCCCCCCTCCACCAATGACTAGACTTCCAAGATCCTCTGCATTTTTGTTGCTAAGTCCAGTACTCTTTTCATAGTTCTCACCTTTCTTTTGACAAAAGCAATCACTTCTAAAACACTTTCAGGTTCTAGGATACTTTTTTCCTTTATTGCCTCTTTTGTCAACCCTATCTCCTCAACTTCTGACTTCTGAGGACTTGGTCCTTAAACTTTTTATGTACCCTCCCAAGTGATCTCAATTTATTTCATGACTTTAAATACTATCTATATATCTTGACTTCTAAATCTTTGTCTCAGCCTACATCTCTTCCTGGAGTTCCATCTCTACTGAACATTTTGACTTGGCTGTTTAATAGTTATTTCATACTTTAGATGCTAAAGTAAACTGATTTCTCTCCCAATCCTGGCCCATTCCACTCACTATAGTCTTTACTCTCTAATTTAGGACACTCCCATTTATTCAGCTCTTGGAGTTCTCTTAGACATCTCTCATTCTTTTCTATCCCATATATGATCCATCAATGAATCTGTTTTATTTTCAAAACATATCCAAACTCTAGCCACTTCTTGCCAACTTCACTGCAACCACTCAAGACAAAAACACCATTATCACTTGCCTGGACCACTGCAATGACCATGTAAACTGATCACGCTTGCTGTTTCTCACACAGCAGCTAGAGGCAGACTTTCAAGCTCCTGAGACATTTCCAATGGTTTTGCATCTCATTGTCCTTTCACCCCCTCCATTGGCCTACTCCAAGCCCATGTTACCTCTGACCAAGCATCCAACTCACTCCCAACTACTGTAGGACCAGTGGCCTAGCTTCTCTTCCAACACATCAAGTACTCTTCTACCTCAGGATATTTGCATTGTCTATTCTGACTTCAAAGCTCTTTCCTATATATTTTTTTTAAAAAAAATATATATTTACTTGTACATGAAAACACAGTATCTTTATTTATTTTTGCCTGGTGCTGAAGCTTGAACCTAGTGCCTCACACATGCAAGGCAAGCACTTTACTACTGAGCCACAGCCACAGTCCCTCCTATATATCTTTATAGCTCTTGTCCTTCCCTTTTTTAATTCCTGATCAAAGAGTCCTTCACTTAACACTTACATAATAGTGTCCCATTCTATGGTGGTTTTTAAAATACCTCCACAAATTTCTTTTTCTGTGAGTGCTGGGGATGTTACCCAGATCCTTGTGAATGTTAAGCAAGTGCTCTACCACTGAGCTGCACTCCAGCTCACTCTGCAAAAAGTTTTGGTATTCTTCCATTCAAAAGGTAAAGTCTAATTTCCTTCTCTTTGAGTGTGGACTAGACTTACTTATGTACTTTAACAATGTATGTGACAATGTGTGACTTTTAGAACTGGGCCATAAAAAGCATTGCAGCTTCTTTAATCTCTTTTGGATCACTCTGAGAGAAATCACCTGCCTTTCCAAGAGGATACACAAGCAATCCTGTACAGCGGTCCATGTGGGGGACAAACAGGCCTCCTATCAATAGCTTGAAAGTGAATTTTCCAGCCCCAGTCAAGGCTTCAGATGCAGCCCTAGCCAACATTTTGTCTCATAAAAGACAATTAATTAGTCAGAACCACCTAGCTAAGCCACTTGTGAATCCCCAACTCATGGAATTGTGAGAAAATAATGTTTGTTTTAAGCTTCTAAGTTTAGTGGTAATTTGTTACACAGCAATAGATAACCAATACACTTTCCAGTTTCTATTCCCTTCTCCATGGTATCTATCACCATCAGACACAATGTATATTTCCTCCACTAGAATTATGTATTATATCAAGGCCTTTGTTTTATTTACACCTGTGTCCAGCAGTTTCTGGCATAAAGTAGGTACTCAATAAATATGTGTTGGATTAATGAAGTATTGGTTTCTTCAGGTCTAGATATTTTGTTTGTCTTTGTCTCTGTAAAGTATAGGGCCAGACTATTGTGTGGGTGTGAGAGGCAGCCTTTCCTTTTCACAGATGAAGAGAGAAAAACCAGGTTCTATTCAGGCTTATTCCTTCCCCTTAACCCTTCCCAGTTGTAGCCCTCCCAGCTCAGACCACAAAGGTGTGTTTATTTTGCTTGATACTTTTTATTTTGAAGGGAAAGGGGTAGCTGCTCAGTTCCATTCCTCTCTCCTCCCACAACCCAAACTCTGCAAAAAGCAATCTCCAAACCCTCAGAACTGAATTTCCCTAAGCAAGTTCCTACCTTTTCAAGAGAAAACTTATCTATCTCTCTAGAAATTGTGAGCAGCCCTGGGAAGCTGGGGAAAAGAGAAGCAAGCTGGACACTGGAGTTCCATGGATTTCTAAGCTCTGCCTTCTAGTCATCTACAAAATGAGGAGGGCATGATTATTGGCCTCTGCATTCACCAGTTCTCCCCTCTGTGGGCCCAGCATAGGGGTGAGTGGGCAGAGAAGGAGATTTGGCTCTACCTCAGGAGAAATCATAGCCAACTCCTATGGGGAAGTGGTGGAATTTTCCATAGAGAGCAAGGACTTAGATCTGGGCTGCAGAGAAGGAGGAAAGCAAGCATCCAACATAGATCCTGGTAAGAAGAACCGATGGTCTGGGCTGGGGCAAGCTGAGGCTGAGATTAGTGGACTGATTTGAAGAGCGGGAGGGAGGAGCAAAGACAAGGTCATTCCTAGATTCCTGCCCTCTAAAGGAATCATGGCCCTGGGCATGTGGGCCTCACTGGATATGAGGTCACCCAGGGACCTCATTGAGAATGGTCCTTGGTACTGCATACCCATACTATGTTTCACCCTTTCAGACACCTACTATTCCCTCACCTTAGGATGGTCATCATGCCTTTGGTAGGTAGAGGTCTCCTTGGGCACCGAATAAAACTGGAAAAGTATAGGGGCGGTGCCCCAGAGGAATAGGGTCCAAGCTGCTCAGAGAAATCATGGCCTGGCACCTAGGAACCCCAATAAAGGAACAGCATCTGGTGGATAGTTGGGGTAGGGTGGGACCAAAGCAATTGACTGAGGGGAAATAGAGATTTGGGTGTCAGGAACACACAAGTGGAGAATGTGTGTGAAAGTGGGCAAAATGCTGATCCCTTGTGAAACAAACAAATGATGAGTGCCTGGGGCTCATTATACTCTTAATTCTTCTCCTGTGCACCTTTGGAAATATATAATAGAATGTCAAGAAAATTTTTAAAAGACAGAACTGTATGTAGTTGTGTAGTTGCATGTGGTGCTTATACCTTGCTGCAGGTGCATAGGCAGCTCAAAGACCTCCGAGTGTGGTAGTACATAGGTGTGGATACATCGCCATATGCACACCTGTGTGTAAACTGCATCATGCATGCAGTTGAGGACAGCATGTGGACAGAGCAGGAGAAGAAGCTTCTGTTCTGGCCAGGCTCAACACTCACCCCAGTATCCCGCAGAATGATTCACCTAGTGATCACAGCCAGCCCAGGTCTCTGACGCTGTAGTGCCATGGAACCCAGTGTGTAAAATTGAGCAGCTGCGTGCCTGAACTTATGACAGGTGTGTTGGTGTGTGAAAGCGGCTGTTTGTGTGTGCATGCCCGGCACTGAGTATGGGTGTCGGGTGTCTTGGTGAGGTGGGGCGGGGTCCTAGTCCAGAGTCCAGCGACCGTGGACTCCTCATGCTCCCGATTTCCCATGGCTCTCCAGCGCCCCTCCCCCGGAGTCTGGCTGTAAGGAAGGTGGGAGACACCTGTTGGGGGGTTGAGAGAAGCAGAGCCCACAGGGGCCTCTCCCCCCTGCATCCCCGCCCGCCTTCCGGGCTCGGGTCCCGCCCCCGAGACCGCAGCTAGCAGATCTGCCGCGAGTGAGCGCGCCACTGCCAGAGAAGCGCAGGACGGCAAGAGCGCACGGCGGCGGGGACCCTGAGCCAGGAACCAAGCGAAAGCAGGGGCCGCCCCCGAGGCGGGCGGAGCAGAGGGACCGCCGTGGAGACACCCGGGGCAGCGGGCCGCGCCAGGCCGGTGAGTGCGGCTGTCGGCTGTCGGGTGCCGGGAGCCAGAGAGCTGGGCGCAGTGACTCCGCTACCTCCTGCCCGTCCGGTCTCGTCCCGCTCCCAATCACTGCCCCCACCGCCCTCTGTTCCTGCACCTGCTTGATTCTTGTCCTTTGCCTGCCCTGTTTCAGTCTGTTTTTGCCTGTCCCAGTCTCTCCGTCTCTGTGTCTCGCCCCATCTCTTTCTATTACCTCTCTTCTGTCTGTCTTCTGCTGCGTCGTCGGTCTTTCCTTATCTCTCTCAACCTGTCTCTATTGGATTCACTCTGTCTCTGTCTCTATCTGGACTGCCTGTCACTTACATCCTTTATTTCTTGTTCCTCTCTCTTACCCAATGTCATTCTACCCAATGTCTATCAATCTCATCTTTTCCCATCTATGTTTCTGTCTAATCTCTGTCTGTCTCCATCTTGGTCTCTCTCAGGTCCACTTCAGTCTCTCCTTGTCCCATCTCCATCTCTATCTGTGTATCTCTGTTATATTCAATCAATCTCCCCACCCCCTCTCTCATATCTCTCTTCCCCTCTCCTCTATCTCCCTTGGTCCTTGTCACCCTCTATGGTTTGCTTAGCCTCTCCCTGTCCTCAGTCATGGCTATTTCTTACTCCCTGGGTCTGGTCTCTGTATCTCCTGTTTTTTCTGTCTCTGTCTCTGTACATCTCTGGGAAAGCTCTGTCTTTTTTTTTTTTTAAGACCCCCTGCATGTCCCTGAATCCATGACCACCTCCCTTGTGTTGGGGGGTGTAGGGCAGCAAGGCCCAGCACCCATAATTCCCTCCCCCACAGATGGCCCTTTCCTCTGGGCCCCGCCTGGTACCAGGGCCGACCCCAGCAGGGGGACTGCGCCTGGAAGCTGTAATGGAGGTCCTGCAGAGACAGCAGGCTGCTCGTCTGGCCCAAGGGGTGGGGCCCTTGGTTCCTCCACATCCACCGCTGCCATCCCGACCTCCCTTTCCTAGTCCCCAGACCCTGCAGGCTCCAGAGGGGGCCTTAGGGGAAATTGGGGCTGATGAAGAGGAGGATGCTGAAGAGGATGAGGAGGGGGAGGAAGCTGGAGCAGAGCAGGAGGCAACTGATGAGAGTTGTCCAAGGGCCCAGGGCCCCAGCTCACCTTCCAGCCAGCCCCCTGGACCCCATCCCCACGAGTGGACCTATGAGGAACAGTTCAAGCAGGTAGGATTCCCTCACTGTAAGGGTTCCCCTCTTCCTTCCCTCTGGGCAAAAGCAGAGCCAGGTGATCAGTAGTCCCTCCATCCCCAACGCCCTCTAAAGGAAGGAAAGGCAGAGAGAGAGAGAGAGAGAGAGAGACAAGACTGGGGGATAGACAGGGTGGGAAAGACACTCAGATATGTGGAAAGTGCACTAAAACAATTCTAAGAGATGCAAAGACACCCCAAAACACGGAGACTGACAAATTGGAAGCCATTAGTGAGTCCATAAGAAAGGTGGGAGGTGTAGAGGGCTTTAAGGGAGAGGGTTCTGGGCTTGGGAATTCCTATACCAGCACCATTCTACCTACTCTTTCACACATCAAGTCACCAGGGCCAGTAGGAGTGTCCCATACCATTTCCCTCTGTCTTTGGAGGCAGAATAGATATTGCCACTCCCTTGGCAGGCTGGTACACCCCTCCTCTTTCCTATCACACCACTCTCCCATCCAAATGTTCTACCTGGCCTAAACTTCATGGATGATAGTTCCCAGTCTGTGTTGGCCACTACAGCTACAGTGTGACTAAAAGGCCGCTATGCAGCTGAGAATAGCAAGACTTACTCACATGACCTTAATTCAAGGTTCTTTCTCCCTGAGAAACCCTCTGGGTTTTATTCTAAGGATACTAGTCCAGGCTGTCACTATGAAGGTGTTACTCAGGTCTGTGACTCCAGGTGTGCTATTCTGGCAGCATTACTTGCAGGGTGTTTGTTGGTCTTCAATGTTTTCTAGATGTCTTCATCTGTGGCTAGAACTCTGTGGCATTAGTGTAAGAATGTGTTATTCGGGGTCCTGTTACTCCAGAGATATGGCCCTCGTGACTGTTACTCTGGGACTTATTACTTGGAGAGTGTGAATATTATTTATAGCTATTCATCTAAGACCAGGGCTCTGTGTTGTGGGCATGAGACTCTCCAGGTTTTGTTACTCATGGGTGATCTTTTCTCTGAAAGTTCTTATTGAGGGATGGAGTGTTACCTATAGGTGTTACTCAGGGACTGTTATTCTGGGTCAATGACTATTACTTTGGGAATTGCTCTTCTTAGATTTGAGAGGTGATGCTTGGGACGGGGTCTAGGTGACTAGGAATTAGAAGGATGACTGGTAGGTCCCTCATCCCTTAACCCCTCGGGTCCTGTGGCACTTGGCCAATGCCTCTGTGGCAGCTTCCTCAGTAGGCAGGGTAACTGCCTCTGGAAGCTCAGGCCAGAAGGTCAATCCAGGAGTCCCTGAGCATCTTTCCTGCCTTTTACACAACACAAACCCAGGAACACAAGGATGTGAACAGCATGAGGGCCTTGCACATGAATGAGAATGAATGATCCTCAGACACACAGCAGTTTCCTCAGAGTGGAACACAAACCTAGCCTGGCTTCTTTCCTAGGGAATGTCCTCTCCGAGGACAGGATAAGCAGCCCGAGCTTCTTCCTGCTTCCCCTCTTCCCTATAATTTCCCTATGAGTGTTTTGAGATGCCCAGAGCACCATTAGCCAGGATGGGTCTGTGTATTTTAGAAAAAGGCACCCCTACCTACCCCTGGGATGGGCCTAATACCAGGGGGTCCATATTCAGGCCCAACTTACCCCTTCAGCTAGGGACTCTTGTTCAGGGTACAACCTGAATTGGGGTCCCAGGGGAGGGGGTTCTGTGGAGCTAAAGAGTGACCCTGGTCCTTTCCCAGTTGTATGAACTTGATGCAGACCCCAAGAGGAAGGAATTTCTGGATGACCTGTTTAGCTTCATGCAGAAGAGGGGTGAGTGAGGTGATGCAGGGAAGGACTTAGAATTGCCCCCATTTACCAGGTTTGAGGAAGGGAGACACCAGGATGTAGTCCCCAGGTGGGGTCCTCCCAGCAGGGGCCTAGGGTTGGCAGTACCTGTCCTTTAGGCCTTCAATAGTGTCTTTAACCTCTGACCCTGCCCCCCTTCTCCACCCCAGGATTAATTAGTCACCAGCCCACTGGCAGCTTAATGAGTGTGGAATCAATTGGGAGGGTGGGAGGAGGAACTGATGGGTGACTGGCTTGGGGTGGGGTGGGGTCCCAGTACTAGAGGGTTGGTAATGCCTTAATTCTCTATAGTAGGGGGCCAGTTCCTCCAACCTTGTCTTTCTCAGTTTTCCCCTGCTTCAGTCAGGGAATTCCCCATGTGCTCTGTAGCAGGAAGGACTAGGATTAGACTGAAGGAAGGACTTCCCAAGGGGTGGGCTGGGGGACCATGTAAGTATGGGAAGTTGGCAGAGAAGGAATTCCTTTCCAGAGCTGGAAGAAATAATGCAAGAAGGGTCCAGGAGGGGATCAGGGTGGGCCGCAGTTCATCACTTCAGCTTCTCCCCAGATTCATGGGACTGAACACTGACTCATTATCTCTCTCTACAAAGCTAATTAACTCACTCAGAGCGCAGCCTGATAAGCCGCTAATTAACTGGCTGCACTGCAGCCCCCCCTTCCCTTAGTGCAGCTGCTGGTCCAAGTCTCCCTGGACCACCACCCAGGCCCAGCGTCCCTTTCTGTCCTTCCCAGGGACACTTGGTGGGGTCCAAGGACCTCTTGCTCCCCAGGGAACACTGGTTATTCTGGTCCCAGTGTCCCCTCTCTACCTCTTCCTTGGGGCCTTCTCTACGCTGAGAATGGGGTGGGATAGTCTGAGCTGATCCCAGCACTACCCACACCCCCAGCTCTGCCTCCTTTTAAGTCCCTGCTTCCCTCTTCTGGGCTGCCCGGTTGGGGGGTGGGGAGTGGGGGAGGGCGGTCCCGCAGGGCCGATAATTTCCCCCCATTAATCAGGCCGCAGCTAATTGTTCGGGTCCAAAGGCGGCGGTGGAAGGGGGACGGGATCGGTAAGGAATTAACTGGGGCCCATCGCTCAGCGGAGACAGGCCCTTTTGTCAGGACTGGCTGGCGGGGGTGGCGCTGGCTGCAGAGTTGGCGGGGCCCAGGCAGGAACTGATTCTTTTCCACCTGCCATGGTTCTCCGCCCCCGCTCCCCTCCACCTCCGCCTTGGGTAGCCATTGGGGGCTGCTGTTTAGGGGAATTCAGCTCTTCCTTAGTCCTTCCTACAGTCTACCCCGGGGATTGACGGGCAAACTAAAGCTTTCAGGCCAAATCCAGTTGCCTTCGAGATATAATGGTTTTCTTTCTTTCTTTTTTTAAACCTATTTGGAAAATAGAATTAAAAAAGGAATAACATTTGTAGCTTGTGGAACTCAAATTTCAGAGCCTGCAAATAAAGTTTTATTGGAACACATTTGCACCCATTCTCTAGTAGGTATTCTCCAAGGCTGCTTTCAGACTACAATTGTAGAGTTGACTAGTTGTGACAGAGATCTATTGGCCTGCAAAGCCTGAAATATTTACTATCTGGCCCTGTACAGAATAAGTTTGCTGACCCCTGGTCTAGACTCCCGTCCTTCCTGCTACGATAGAGGCCCTGGAGGATCTGGGGGCTCTGCCTGTAATCCTACCTCCCTATCCCTCTGCCTTCCCTCTCTAAGCCTAGTGCAGGCACTCAACTCCCTCAGTCCCCAGGGATGCCCTCAGACAGGGCCTACTTGGTGTTCTGACTCTCTGCCTACTCCCCATCAGGGACACCAGTGAATCGTGTGCCCATCATGGCGAAGCAGGTGCTGGATCTGTATGCGCTGTTTCGCCTGGTGACCGCTAAGGGCGGCCTGGTGGAAGTCATCAACCGAAAAGTGTGGCGGGAGGTCACGCGGGGCCTCAGTTTGCCCACCACCATCACCTCAGCCGCCTTCACTCTCCGCACCCAGTGAGGCCTGGGGTGCTGGCGAAAGGGAAGGGCACGCAGGGTGGGGGGTGAGGATGTGGAGGGCGGCGCGGTGTGGGACTTGACCGGCTGGGCCCAGCCTCCCTTCCCTGCCCCGATCCGCCTCTAGGTACATGAAGTACCTGTACCCGTACGAGTGCGAGACGCGGGCGCTCAGCTCCCCGGGGGAACTCCAGGCCGCCATAGACAGCAATCGGCGCGAGGGCCGTCGCCAAGCTTACACCGCAGCTCCGCTCTTCACCTTAGCAGGGCCACCCGCTAGGGGCGCTCCCGGCCCCGCCTCTGGCCCTGGCCCAGCCCCGCCCGCGCCTCTCTCCGGCCCTGGTTCCGGACCCGCCCAGGGTTCCGCCTCTGGCCTACCAGCGCTTGCTTGCGCCCAGCTGAGTCCCAGCCCTATTAAGAAAGGTGAGAGGAACCCAGGAGGCTTTGGGGGCGGGGTGGTTTTGAGGTCTATGCGTGCTCTGAGATGTAGGAAACATTAATGAAAGGATTTTGCGGGACACGGGTTGCAAGTTCAAAGGCAGCAAGACCATTTAGCAACATAAATGGTCAACATAAAAAATAAAAATGGCTGGGGATGTAGCTTAGTGGAAAAGCACGCCTCAGTCCACAATAGAATAGGTAAATAAATAAATCAATAGTGGGGGCTGGGGTTGTGGTTCAGTGGTAGAGCACTTGCCTTGCATGTGTGAGGCACTGGGTTCCATCCTCAGCACCACATAAAATAAATAAATAAAATAAAGGTATTGTGTCCATCAACAACTAAAAATATTTTAAGAAAGAAAAAAAGAAATAGTAGGGATCCTGAGGTCTGGGAGGCATTGCAATTTGGGAGCAACAAGACTTGACTGGGCTCTGAGGTTTGAGTATTGCTAAGGTATAGAAGTCCTGAGGTTTGGAGTCAATAAAGCCTTGACTCCAAGCTTAACCCGGTGTACCAGGTACCAAGCTCAGGAAAAGGTCCATAGCAGCTTTATCCATAGCAGCTTCATTCCACCCCTATGCACCCAGGACTCCTGTTTGCATGTGGTCTGCCTCCTTATGTCTTGGATTATTTGACAACCAAGAACAAGAAAGTCTCCCAAATTCTCTTAAACCAACCCAAAACTATATATTGGCCCTTTGGGCTTGACACCATACCCCAGCCTCTAGCCTGAAGTTCTGGATGGGAAGAGAGATTGAAGTTGGTGCTTTGAGCTTGGATGACCTCTCTTGGTCCCAGACTTGGGGAAGAACCACATTGCTTGGGCCTGAGGAGGTAATGACTTGTTCTTCCAGAGGAGAGTGGAATTCCAACCCCTCATCTGCAACTACCTGTGGGCCTTGCCTTGGGACCAGCACGGGAGAAGTTGGCAACAGAGGAGCCTCCAGAGAAGAGGGCTGTGCTAATGAGCCCTATGGACCCACCTCGACCCAATGCACCCCCCAGTTTCCTGCCCCGCAGCAAAGCTCCCTTGAGGGGTGAGGAAGGGCTTATTGATGAGGGGTCTTCAGTCCTATGCACTGAGGGAAGATAGACCCATGACCTGATAGGTATTGAAGGTGGGCAGCCAATTCCCTCTATAGACAAGTGTGATTACAGGTATGGGGGCTAAAGTGAAATGTGGGCCATCTATAGAAATGGGGGACTTCTAAGTCTGAAATCTGATTCCCTGAAATGTGACTACTCCCCCTCCTGGACAGAAGAGCGGCTGGATGGGCCCCTCAATCTGGCAGGCAGTGGCATCAGCAGTATCAACATGGCGCTAGAGATCAACGGGGTGGTCTACACTGGTATGGGTACTGTAGGTTGTCTACACTGGCATGGAGTCAGGGGTATTTAGACTAGCATGGGGGTTTTAAATTTTTCTCTACTAGCATGAGGTTCAGGGATAGCTGAACTTGCATGGTAACATGGGGTTCAGGGGATTGCTACACTGGCATGGTTTCAAGGGTGTGTTTATGGCATGGGGTCCAAGGCATGGCCTCTGTGGCGTGGTGATCATGGGATATCTGCCTTGTCATGGGCCTATGTATTAGTGTCAATATTTCTTTTTTACCTGTTTGAGGGTATCTGCATTGGCATAGGAGTTTCTCACTGACCAGAGGGACTTGTCCTCATTGGTTTGTGACAAGGGTATGTGTGTGGTGCTCTAGCAATCAAGACACTTACTTTTGTTCCTTTCTGTTTCTGTGTCCCACCCTCTCCTGCTTGTGTTTGCTTTTTGCCATTTCCTCACCCCTTTGCCAGGTGTTCTCTTTGCTCGCCGCCAGCCTGTGCCAGCTTCCCAGGGCCCAACCAACCCTGCACCCCCACCTTCTACTGGGCACCCTTCCAGCACCTTGCCCTGAGAGCTCCTATTCAGAACTAAGAGTCCCAGCTCCATTGCTGAGGGGGGAGGAGGCACCCTTCTGCCTTGATTCTTTCAGGATGCTCACTCTGGGACCCAGCCCTGGGAGATGACCACACCCCACCTCCATGCCAAAAGGTTTTCTTTTGACGTTCCATCTACCTCATTGTAAAAGGAGGGCACCACCTCCCTAGTCAATTCCAGCAGCATCTACCAAAGGATTCTTCCAGAAGCAACCCCCATAATCTTGTCATATGCCCTTTGTGTCAATATCATCTTTGGCACACAGCCTTTCAGGAGCCAGGTGAAGGGTTGGATTGGGTGTTGTTGAAGATGTCCCTCAGGTTACATTTCCTAATAAAGTTGTGCTCCCTCCCACTCCAGTACCTCCTCTTCTTGTTTGGTCTGAATGGGGGTGGGGGGGAGGAAGGATGTGGTACACAGGCAGCATTAGATGGGGGAGGGGGGCTCTGAGGAGAAGGCAGAATAGCAAAACTCCGTGAGAACAGAAGAGCATTGAATCAGACTGCTCGAGTTCAAATCCCGATTCTTTTACAATAGTGCTGTCCGGCCTTGGGCAAGTCACTTAGTCTCTTGAATATTAAAAGTTTCATGGACTTTTAAAAGCCCATGAGCCCTCCTACTGAGTTGTCTATGGGAATGGACCTATCGCGGAACAGTGGGTATATTTATATGTACAACCTTAGGGAAAGGGGTGGGGGAAAAGTCTTTGGTATGAAATTAGAAGAAGAAAGGAAAAGTCTTGATAACCAGGCGCTGGAAGCCAGGGAAGGGACCGGTGAGATAGCGTCACCAAGGTAACTAGACAGCTTTTGACATCTTTTACCTGCCCGTCTGGTCACTTCTGGCATTGAATGTCTGGATCAAGGCGTCACTTCCTGCACACAGGGCCATCCGTGCACTCGGATTGGCCAGCCTTCCTCCTTGGGCGGACGTCCCACCCTCTGAGTCTTCCGCTGCTGAGGTGGGGCGGTAGTGGCGATGGCGGCTCTGACGGACGTGCAGCGGCTACAGGCCCGAGTAGAGGAGCTGGAGCGCTGGGTGTACGGGCCGAGCGGGGCGCGCGGCACGCGGAAGGTGAGAGCTCCGGTCCGGTGGTCCGTTTCTGCGGCAGGGCAAGAGCAGTCCACTGGTCCGGCACTCTGGATGGATGCAACGACTCCAGTCCTGTGGTCCACAGTCCAGCCTTTGAAAGAACAAAGGTCCGGGACATTCTGAAGCCTCTCGTACCCTCAGGGTTCATTCCCATGGTGGGCTCTGAGGATAATTACGTCTTTTTGAGATGGGCTCAGTGACAAGTGTAACTAAGACTCCGCCACTGTCCTTGCAGGCTAGTTGGGGAGACCTGACACCTTCGAGAAGCTAATGAGAGTTTCAATAGGAGTTGAAGTCCACAATAGAAGTGCCATCCCGGAGCCCTCCGTAGTTAGATGCTAAATGAATTGTGCAGGTAGAGGTCCATGGGACGCCAAAGGAGGCCCAGCAGAGGTGGATAAGGGGTGAGAGGTGGCGGTCTGAGAAGGGCAAGAATAGAAGTGTCAGGGTTTGGGTACTGGGTGTTCAGATGCTGGTCGGCACTCCACACCAGTGATTAAATTTTGACAAGTGTGAGAGCCAGTTGCCCTCTAATCCTTTTTTCTACAATTGGAAACCCAATTACTGAATAACTTCTGGTTCACTGCCAGGATATTCTGGAACTAAGTGCATCATAAATAGTGCTGTTTGTACGGCTTGTGGAATTGGTCATCACCAGCAGATTGTTTTCCCATTTGAAAATTAACTTCCCAAAACATTCTCTGTCTTTGGCGTCTATGACTCTAGCCTGCCTGATATTTCTTCTATCTCTTTGGCTGTTGTTTTCAGTCTTATTTGCCTACCCACATATTTGACCCTAGAATATTAGCATTCTGTACTCAAACCCTAAAACCTGGGTGAGCTCATTCACTTCCATAGTTGCCTCCTCTATTTAACCAGTGAATAGTGAAACTTCTCACCTTCTACCCTTAAATCCTAGGTGGGCCAATTCACTCCTATAGTTTCATTTACTCCTTACTTGCCATTATGTCTCAAATGTGTATCTCTGGTTAAAATTTCTGTTCTGAGAACCTGATTTAACATCCATTTGTCTTCCACACTTTTCCATTTGAATAATCAACAGACATCTCAAACTCAGTCCATATGCTCTTAACTGTACTCTACCTCTCCCCAACCTGATTCTTTTATATATGCCCTAATACAGGGATTGAAGCATCTTTGGGATCCTAGATGTCTTCTATGATCTTCCATTCTCCACACTAGAGTTGATGTGGAGAGGATGGGGCTAGAGATAGGCCAGTCACTCCAGCAGCTCGTACAGTCATCCAGGCATGAGATAATGACAGCCTGGAGAAGATTTTGCATCTCTCATGCCCAAGGATTTAGGAACCAGGGAATATGTAATATATGCTGGTTCTGTATAAACTCTAAAGTAGTTAATTGTCTACTGAAACAGACTTGAAACTCCCCAAGAAATTTATGATTCTTTTCCTTTCCCATTAAGGATTCCCTGAAGCTGGGCTTCATCTTCAAAAGAAGGGGACCAAACTAGATTACTGGGACTCAGAGGTTTTGGAGTCTGGGAGAATGAGGGTTCTTTACTTCTTCCAAGCCTTGAGCCAGGTGGTATATTTTTCAATTAACTTCCATTCCCCTTACAGGTGGCTGATGGTCTGGTCAAGGTGCAGGTGGCTTTGGGGAACATTGCCAGTAAAAGGGAGAGGGTGAAGATTCTGTACAAAAAGAGTAAGTGCTTCCACAGGGTCCCTGCTTGCTCTACTTTCCATCCCTGTGCTTCCTGGAACCTGACCCTGGTCCTTCAGCCAGCAGGTCACTAGAGTAATTCTTTGAAGACAGAAAAAATGTGAAGATGTTTCCCTGCCAAATTGGTGAATTGCGGTGTGCTTTTCTTCCTTATGAATAAATCTCAAGCCCATGCCAGGGTCTTAAGTTTTGTGATGAGACCTCTTACTGAAAGCTTCCCTTGGTAAAGGAGGGAAAGAGTATATGAATTTTCTTTAGATGAGGATAAGAGAAGGAAAGAAATGAGGCACTGAGAATCCCAGCCTTGGTTCAACCAAGCCTTTTATGTTCTGTTACAGCTAGTAACCTGCTCAGTAACTAGAAATCAAAACAAACCCTGGCTTGTCTAGGCATTAAGGAAGAAAGGAACCTTCCACCCTTGCTAAGGATCAGTGGCAGTGCTAGGGAGGGACCCGTGAATGGTGGCAGCAGTTGTGTTTTCAGCTCTAGACTCTGAGGTCAGCCAGCAGGTAGGAAGAGTGGAGAAACAGGGAAGAGGAATAGGGGACTTGGTAGATGCTCCTGATGCAGCACTATAGGTGTCAGCTCATCTTTCAAAGCTCTCTCCAAGGATGACCACACCCAAAATTACTTTATAAGACAGAGTTCTATTTCCCCACCATGTCTATTTTTCATCTTCCTACTTTTCTAGTTGAAGACCTGATCAAATACCTGGATCCTGAGTACATTGACCGCATTGCCATACCTGATGCCACTAAGTTGCAATTCATCTTAGCAGGTAATGCTGGACTATGTGTGTACATGCATCTGAGGATGTGGGTTGTGGGGGATATGGGGCATAGAGAGAGTCTCCCTCACCCATCTTGACATGGTACAGTTCAGAGACTGCTCTCTGGGATTTGGGCCTGGTTCTGAACTAAAGCCTGAGGTGATCTGTGGATCCAGTAGTAGGCACTGAATGCAGTGTACCTCTGGGCCAGCTGCAGGCCATGGTGCCAGCCACAGCGGGAGTTACTCAGTGTTCTATCAATGGCCTATCCCTAGAATTTTCCTTCCGAATCCTCATTCTGCTCACTGGATAGAGGATCTCCTAAGGAAAAAATGGGGGCAGGACCATTGTTATTCAGGAAAAGGGAGAATACTGGTATGAGTTTCAACATTTTTCTTTCATGTGAAAAATCTCCAGTATTTCAGAATTCTAGGCAGAAATATCAGTCATCCACTACACAGCTAGGATTTTCTGAGCACCTGTGTTTGTTCATTCATCTAGAACATATTCAGCTGGGCATGGTAGCAAGCACCTGTAGTCCTAGCTACTCAAGAGGCTAAGGCTGGAGGATTGTGAGTTCAAGGTCAGCCTAGGCAACATAGTGAAACTCTGTTCCCCCCACCCCATCCCACTGCCCACCACCGAGAGAGAGAGAGAGAGAGAGAGAGAGAGAGAGAGAGAGAAAAGACATTCAATGATTATCTGCTGTGGATCCAGGCATTATCCTGGATGAGAGACAAACAATGGTGAACCAGGGCACAATAAGAGCAAGAGGAGGCAATCCCTGTTCTAGGGACCTGAGTTTGTAACCTAGGTGGGTAATGTAACACTGAGGTCTAGGTAAGGAAGGACACCTGTGATGAAAGGGCTGTTAGAATTCCCAAAGGGCTCCTGAGCAATTTCCATGGTTCAGGAGATCTTCCCTTGCACTGACTCTTACCCTAGCCTCTCTCCCTCTCTTCCTATGACACTGCCTCAGGGGGTGTAAATCTAGTCACATTCGAGAAGTTACACAATCTCCCAAATCATCTTCTTGCTTTAGTCCAGTCTCATCTTCATAACACATTTCCAGCAAGTCAGTTGCCTGCTTCAAATTCAGTGTCTCCTCTCCTTGCTAGCATAAAATCCTAATCTTTTAGCCTGCCATTCAAGGTCTTCTAGTCTATAGGGCCTGTCCTGTCATCCAGCTCTGTTTTTTGTGCTCTGCCTTTTTCAGTTCAGCTAACTGAATTCTTTTTTTTTTTCTTTTTTAGTTGTAGTTGGACACAATACCTTTATTTATTTATTTTTTATGTGGTGCTGAGGATTGAACCCAGTACCTTGCACGTGTTAGGCGAGTGCTCTACCACTGAGCCACGACCCCAGCCCTAATTGAATTCTTTTTCCCTTAATGTCAAGCACTCCTGCCTCTAGTCATTTGCATGTAACAGTGCTCACTTTCCTTTCTTTCTTTTTTTTTTGGTGATATTAGAGATTTAACCCAGGGCAGTTTGCCACTGAGTATACCCCCCAAGCCCCCAAGCCCTTTTATGTTTTTTTTTTGGGGGGGGGGTACCAGGGATTGAACCCAGGGATGCTTAACCACTGAGCCACATTGTCCCAGCCCTTTTATTTAGAGACAGGGTGTTGTTAATATTTTAGTTAGAGACTGGGTGTCCTTGAGTTGCTTTGGTCCTCACTAAATTGCTGAGGCTGACCTTGAACTCATGATCCCCTGCCTTAGCCTCTCTAGAGCCACTGGGATACAGGCATGAGCCACCACACCTGTCCTATATCTTTATTTTGAGACAGGATCTTACTAAATTGCCCAGGCTGACCTCAAACTTGCAATACTTTTGCCTCAGCCTCCAGAGCACTGGGATTACAGTTGTACACCACTGCCCAGCTACAGTCCTCACTCTTGAATGCCTTCCTACTCCGTGGATTTCAGTCCATTGAACCCCTCTGTGTATACAGAGCCCAGCTCAGGTCCTATTTTCTCACTAGCCTCTTCCATTGCTGTCCCTGCTGTCTTGCCATTTGTATTATCTCTGTCTCTGAGAAACTGAGCAGATCTTGCCTGGTATAGTCTGTCACGTGTCTGTTCTTCTATACTTTCCTGGGGGCCTTTGGCATGGTGACCCAAGTCTGAAGTACTTTATCTTCTATGACCTAGGAGGCACTGAGTTGTTAGGAGGCTAGAAGAAGAGGCCTGGGAACCTGTAATCCCAGTGATTTAGGAGGCTGAGGCAGGAGAATTTCAAGTTCAAGGCCAGCCTTGACAACTTGGTAAGACCTGTCTCAAAAAATAGAAAAGGGCTACCAGGCATGATGGTTCATGCCTATAATCCCAGTGGCTTGGGAGGCCAAGGCAGGAGGATCATGAGTTCAAAGCCAGACTCAGCAAAAGCGAGGTGCTAAGCAACTCAGTGATACCTTGTCTCTAAATAAAATACAAAATAGGGCTGGGGATGAGGCTCAATGATTAAGTGCCCCTGACTTCAATCCCCGGTACCCAAAAATAAAATAAATAAAATAATAAAATAATAGAAAAGGGCTAGGATATAGCTCAGTTATAGTGTAGCCCATGGCTTATTCCCCCATTTAATTCCTAGTACCTCAAAAAAAAAAAAAGGCTTTGGAGTTAAAACTTAAAGAAAGGAGGGATTTGGAGAGGTCAAAAGTCTCCTTGGGCTCAAGATAGGTCAGACAAGACATCCAGGAAAGGTGGGGGCAATATGCACCTAGAGAAGGGGAGCATTGGGTAGGATTGGGCAGCAACTCTGACTCCTGTCAGATGCTTGGCCTCTTGCATTGAAGTAGCAGTGCTGGGGTTGCTTCAATTCCACTGTCTTGTCTTTATACTTTAGAGGAGCAGTTTATACTCTCCCAAGTTGCACTCCTGGAGCAGGTGGACAACCTGGTACCCATGTTGGACAGTGCTCCCATCAAAGGTACTTCTTCGGGATTTCAGTTCCACTGTTTTGCTTGGGGAGGTGGGTGGATGAGCAAGACTTGCCTATGCCTTAGACTCCTTGGGCTCAGTCTGGGTCCACTCCTTATCCAAGTACCCCACCCTAGGGGTACTTGCCACCTCTACTAGGATTAAAATTCTTAGAGTAGAGAGCCTCGTTTCATGACCTCAGGCAGTTTGGGCAGATACTTTAGCAGCCTCCAACTTTGCTTATTACCCCACTCCTTGGTATCTCTCTTCAGTTTGCTGTAGAGCCCTGATTTAACTGTCAGAGCCCCTGCTAGTTATATGAATTCTTCCTGCTGCACTGCTGAGAGAGTCCCTGGTCCTGGCATTTGACAAGCAGACAGTGGCTTTAATTGAATCCAGATATCCATCTTGTCTGTCTCAGGAGGTATTTTTTCCAGCTCCCCCTCCCGCTCCTGATCAGCTACCTACTAAGTATCTTGACAGCCTTAAGCTGCTGTCCCAACATAGTGGTCAAGGCTCTGGGTGTTAGATTCCAGTTGGCCAGTTTAGGGAATTGGCATTCCTCCTTAGCTCACCTGCTGGATCCTTATTCCCAAAAAACAGACCTGGGCTTCTGGGCTGAGAGCAAAGGGACAGGTCCTATGATAGACAAAGCTCTCTTTGCCAGGCATGGTGGCACTTAGGAGGCTGAAGCACGAGGATTGCAGGTTTGAGGTGAGCCTCAGCAACTTTAGCGAGACTATTAGCAACTTAGTGAGACCCTGTCTTAAATCAAAATAAAAAGGACTGTGAATGTATTGGTAGTAAAGCACTCTTGGGTTCAATCCCCAACACCAAAAACAAACAAAAAGGATATCTTTACCAGGTCATATTCACAGCATTTAAGTGGTAGGGGGAAACATTGGGGACCCCAAAATTTTGTGTTCTCCTTGGCACCTGTTTTTCCCCTTCCCTATGGGTCCTGTAATAAGACTGGGTCAGGCAGGGAGCGCCCCCCCCACCTCCAGCTACAGTGGTCGATGAAGTCTGGCGTTTGTTTAGCTTCTCCACTCAATACTCTAATCCTGCCGAAGACCTAATAGACTATTGAGCAGTCCCGGGGGAGGGCACAAGCATCATTGGATAGTGTGCAATGTGTTTTACAGCCGTTCCTGAGCATGCTGCCCGCCTACAGCACTTGGCCCAGATCCACATCCAGCAGCAGGTATGAGAGGAGAGAGGACTGAAAGGGAAAGTAGAGATGGTAAGGCCTGTCATCCACACTCCTCTCATCTGGGGAAGCAAGCCTCAGGCCCTCCTCTTGATACTTTGGAGGTTTATCCTTTATTTCCCATATGCCTTAGAGTGGGGGAGGGACTTGCCTAGGGCTACATCCAGGCCTCCTGCCTCCCAGTGTAGGACTATTTTGAAACAAGGTTGAAATTGGGAGGTACCCAAGAATTCCTGAGAATGGTATGTCCTTGATTATAGGTGGAGGATGCTCTCCCTCTCTTTTTCTCTCTCCTCTTCTCCTCTCTCTCTTCTTTCTATCCCCAGTTCTTAGTTTCAAGTTCAAAGAGGGTTCAGAAGGAGAAGACATATACTAGACAGAATGTTTTCCTAAGTGTGTGGCCCACTTCCCCTTACATAAATCTCTGGACTTCTGTTAAGGCACCCATCCTGGGGCCTGAAAGTGCCCCTTTAGCCTTTTGCTCCTTTGGTTCTGGGTGTAAGCATTCACCTTCATTAGGCTTTGTGGGGAGTAAGTTTAGTGAGAGATGGGACTTTGCCCATATCCTTTCTCTGCCACTTTGGCCCTATAGGACAAATGTGTGGAGATCACTGAGGAGTCCAAGGCTCTCCTGGAGGAATACAACAAGATTGTATCCTTTCTGCTCAGCTAGACCCCGGGGTACTCTCCCCAAGCTCTATTCTTGTGTCCCACCTCTAGCTCTCTCCTCCCATCCCAATTAGCCTGTCTGTTCCCTGCTTCCCCATCCCAACGTCTTTTGGCAGATGCAAAATCACTCCCTCAATAAGACTCCTGTTATCTCCTTGACCTGTGACCAGACAATGCTTCTTTCTAAGCAGTTCGTGCAGTGGGATGAGCTGCTTTGCCAACTAGAAGCTGCCAAGCAAGTGAAGCCAGCAGAAGAATGACAGCTGCTCCCCATCACAGGGCTAGCCAGGGCAGCCAGGCTTCAGGGCCCTGTGCCAAACTGTCTTTATAACAAGGCAGAGGCAGCTTTGTATTTGAGAAATTTAAGGACCACCTGTCTGCACCCAGGTGGGGTTCTGAGGACAGAGATTAGGTTATCTGGCAGTTATGGTTTGCACACCCCCCCCATCAATGTATTTATTCCAGTGATAATAAATAAATTGTAGAGATTACTGGAGGAGTGTGCCAGCTTCTGGTCTAGGATGGGCTTGGTGGTGAGGGTGGGGGTGGCGGAAGGTAGAGCTGTCAACCTCCCTGGTGGTTGAAAATTGGAAACTGTTCTATCTTAATCTGGCTTTCTGGGAGGTGTAGAGCTCTGAAGATGAAGGCTCTCATTTGATCGATGTGAATGGGACATTCCTTTGTGCATCCATTTATCCTTTATTTACCAAGTACCCTTTAAAAGTTATATGCCATCAGGTAGAGAGGATACAGGTAGAGCACAGGCTATTGGGGAGATAGTCAAGCAAATGGGCAATGCTACCAGGTGGGCATAGGGTCCTTTTCTGCACAAAGAATAAGCTATGAAACAGGCAGCCCTGGTGGGTGTCAATGCAGGGACTTTCCAAGCCAAGGGAGCAATATGTGCAAATGCAGAGAGAAACCTTGAAATTTCTCTCTTGGGAGTTTGTGCGGTGCCATTAACCGCTTGGGAGAGCCCAGGAGATTTGTATGCAGGAAGTTTTAGGTTGGGGAGGGGCAGTTGGGAAGGTGGGGTAAGGGAGCATGTTGTGAAAGAGCTAGGAGAAACTGAAATGGGCACCACACTCCGCTAAGTGCTGCCTCCTTGTGGTCTCAGGGTGTGATTTGGCTCCAGATTGCTTACCAACTGTCTGTTGACCACCCCCTACCAATGTGGTCTCCCTGCTCCTGATACTCAGAGTGTTCAAACTGTTCTGAAACCTGGCATCATTCTAGACTACTTCTCCATTCAAACAGTCACCAACTCTTCACCATAACTACCCACCAGTATCTCCCAACTTAAACTTTTCTCCATCCCCACTGCAATTTCTGTGGTTCATTAGTTCAAAAAATCATCGAATAAATATTTGAACGCCTACTAGGCGCCGGGCATTGACTAGGCTCTGTGGACACGCCTCTGGGTCCCCATGGCCAGGAGCCCTATGAGGCTGGTATGGGCTGTATGCGGTACAGCCCCTTCCTAGGGTCACGCCGACTGCATTCCCACTTCACACACTACCCTCGGCTGTCGCAAGTGAGCTCTACACAATCTGTGGTTCGACTAACCCCTGACAAAACCCATAATTCGCCAGTGCTCACAGGATGAGTCGAAGCTCAGCACTCGGTAACTGAGGTTGTCTCCCGCGCAACTGCATAAGTGGCCAACTGAAACTCGTTCGCCTGCGTCACCTCGGCTTCCTCGAGGTCCAACAGGTAATGCCCTCCCTCCCATCTTGTCTCCTGAATCCCTTGCCTTCAAACGCAGGATTCCTCAGATGGCTCCTCCCCTCCTGTTCAGGGACCTCATGGCCCCATTGGAGTGCCCCTGCCCGGGATTTAACTGCGGAGACCGTGCGCCTCTGTTCCCTGTCATCAAGTCCTAGCTCCGCTCCCTCAGCGGGTCCAAGCTCCTCCCCGGTTTCCCTCAGGCTCCGCCCGCGTTCGGCGTGCGCGGCCCGCGGTCTCAGCGCGCACCCGGCCCGCACGCCATCTTGGCGGCGCTGCGAGGATCAGGCGGGATCCCACTGAGTCTGCTGAGGTGAGATCCAGGTACCAGCAGGGTGGCGACGCTTGGAGGTAGCCCGAGAGGACGCCTGCTCCCTAGCTGCAGTGGCCCGCGGGACCTAGAAGCGGCCCGTGGCAACGGAGACGGCCAAAGCTGGCCCGGAGTGGCCCGCGCAGCCCTCCTCTCGAGCCTCTGCCCCAGAGTTTCTGACTACACTGGGTTGATGTAGATCGACCCTGATAATTTGGGGGCAAAGGCTGCTTAGCCCTATCCTAGGGATCCCAGAGAAAATGTTGACTCTGTTTTGGGAAGCATTGGGTAAGAGCTTTTGCTGTGTCCCGGGAAACCTGGGGCAAAGGGGCTTGGCCCTGTTCTCAAGGAGAACAAAATGAAGGGACTGCCTCTCCCTGTACTTGAAGAACCCTGATAGGAGCTCTCGGTCTTGTTTTTAGAGAGCCACGGTAAGAGTTCTGGGCCCTGCCTTAAGAAACCCAGAATGGGGTTGGGGCTCCCTACTAGTCCTAATGGCTTGGAATAATGGGCTCTAGTCCTGGCCCAAAGAACCCAATGCTTAGAAATTTGGTCCTGTCTCCGGGGACTCCAGATTTGCTGAGGGAGAGGGGTGTATTGTGATGCTGTCTAGAGGAGGGGGAGGGCGTGTAAGGGGTAAGCCTCTTCCCAAGATGAAGTAGACATGGTTCCTGGTCTTAAAAGCTTGGGAGTGAGAGGATGTGACACTGTTCCTGGGAAGTCTGGGATGAGAAAAAGGGCCATATCCTGAAGAGGGGTGGAGAGAGTGATGGAGAATGGCTGGGGAGCACATTGCCTACCACTCATCTGATACTTCTCTGCAGTGGGCAGTGAGAGTCACAGACAACACAGCAAGCAGGATGGAGCACTACCGGAAAGCTGGCTCTGTAGAGCTTCCAGCACCTTCCCCAATGCCCCAGCTACCTCCTGACACCCTGGAGATGCGGGTCCGAGATGGCAGCAAAATTCGAAACCTGCTGGGACTTGCACTGGGTCGATTGGAGGGGGGCAGTGCACGACATGTGGTGTTCTCAGGTTCTGGCCGTGCTGCAGGGAAAGCTGTCAGCTGCGCTGAGATTGTCAAGCGTCGAGTTCCAGGTCTGCACCAGCTCACCAAACTGCGTTTCCTGCAGACTGAAGACAGCTGGGTCCCAACTTCACCTGATACAGGTTTAGACCCCCTCACAGTACGTCGCAATGTGCCTGCAGTGTGGGTACTGCTCAGCCGGGACCCTCTGGACCCTAGTGAGTGTGGCTACCAGCCCCCAGGAGCACCCCCTGGCCTGGGCTCCATTCCCAGCTCCAGTTGTGGCCCCCGACCCCGAAGAAGGCCTCGAGACAACCGGCCCTGAAGACCTGCTGAACCAGGCTGTTCTCTAGGTCTGAACATCTGAGATGGCTGTGCCTTTTCTGAGACCCCCTTGTGACTGCTCAACATTCCCAACACAGCTTGGGTCCACAGAAGTCCTACTGCCCCTTCCCTCTGGCCTATTGGAAGGGACTGCTATGAAGAACACCATGTATGGGGGTCTCTGCTGATTTCTGGATTGTTTGAAAAGGGCTTTGCCTTCAGCCTACAGTACATTTGACCTGCCTTCTAATGGAGGTCTAGAGTTAGGAAATAAAGGTTCTGCCCATTTGTCAGATGAACTTTGGCCTGCTGTGTGGAAGTGGGAGTAAAGGAATAGGAGTCCCTATCTTTTGCCCCCTGAGAGCTAATAGGCTGGATACAGAGAAAGAATAGGCTCAGGATAGTGTTGGATCTAGTGAATAAGAATCTTCAAGCAGTGACCTGAATCTGTGTAGGCCCATAGTTGGCTGTTTGCCACTTGCTTTGGGCTCATTCAGGAATTCTGCAAGCTCAGAGGTTTCTCCCCTTCTGCAGCATATGTTACAGTGGGATCATGGACCCAGGCACCAGCCTGTCTGGATTTGAATCCTGGTTCTACCATTTGAAATTTACTGCCTTGTGATCTTGGACAAGTTACTCTTCTGTGCTTTAGTGTTCTCATCCACAAAATGGGGAATGATAGTGTTTACCTCATGGGGTTGTTTTGAGGATTAAATAAAGAGATATAAATATTTGATACTTAGATGACACTTGGGCAGCTAGTGCTATATAAATGTTAACTGCTATTATAATTGACTCAGTTTGTAAATATGTTCTTTCCTGTCTTAAAAAAAATGCCTCAGTCCCACATCTTTCTCTAAGTCTCTTCCTTGCCTTTTTACCCTTTGCCATTCCTTTTCTACCTCACCATGGCCTGGGCTCCATTCCAGGTCTGAGAGATCAGGGATGAGAGAGGTAAAGATTGTATTAGTAGCCAGGAGGCTATGGACACTAGGGCAGGATTGTGGGTAGTGGTAGACTCAAGAATTGAAGCAGTTGGGTTTCCCATGGATCTTGAGATCTTCTCCAATGTGTCCAGCAGCCTGAGTGTGCATAAGGAAAGCAGAAATTTGGGGATTCTTCTGAGCTCACATTATAGTAGGATGTAGAAATATTTGAGGTGTAGAAATATTTTCCTGGTACTAGGCAGGTGGGATTAAGGTGTTAGGAGAGTTGACAAGGACTTAAGGCCAGTAGGCTGTGGTGAGAACTTTAAATACTGCATCCTTTGCTTTCCAAGATAGATGAGTCCTGAGTGATGTGAGGACCCTATTTGAGGGGCAGGTAATTCGTGGGTAATATTAGGAGAGATGAAACCTCTGGCTGCCCTACCAGTCCCTTCAAATGCATGGGGTCATGAAGCATTTCACATACCCACGAAGGTGATTATGGCTGCTGTAGTGATTCAGTGTCTTGCTGATAGCCACTGTCTATTCTCCTTTCACTTAATTAAGAGTTTTCTTTTTCTTTTTTTGGTACCAGGGATGGAACCCAAGGGCTCTTAACCAATGAGCCACATCCCCAGTCCCTTTTATTTTTGGTTTTGAGACAGGGTCTTACTGAGTTGCTTAGCAAGTTGCCGAGACTAGCCTCAAACTTCCTTGATTCTGCCTTGGCCTCCCAAGTCACCAAGATTACAGGTTTGCACCACCATATCCAGCCTAGGATTTTTTTTTTTTTTAGTTTTCATTTTAGCTTCTAAAATAAAGATAAGTAAAATGCAGCTTAAATATATGACAATATGTGTGTATAGCTGTAATAGAAATTGGACTCAGAAGCACTCTTAGAAATAAGCTGCATCCCCAGCCCTTTTTTTTTGAGATAGGATCTTGCTAAGTTGCCCAGGTTAGGTTAGCCTTGAACTTGTTTGACATTCTCCTGCCTCAGCCTCCAGAGTAGCTGGGATTACACATGTGTGCTGCTGTGTTAGTATACGATAATTCTGCATTAACACTGATGGTGGATTACATGACGGTTTTAGAAAACAACGTCAATTATTTTCAGACTGCAAAATGACAAGGATCTGCAACTACAGTTAAGGTATATCAGCATACTTTAAAATTAAGACAGTTCAAATGCCATCCACAGCTTAATTTTCTTTCTTTCTTTTTTTTTTTTTTTTAGTTGTTGATGGGTTTTTATTCATTTATTTATATGTGGTACTGAGGTTCGAACCCAGTGCCTCACACATGCTAGTCAAGCACTATACCACTGAGCCACAACCCCAGCCCCCCACAGCTTAATTTTCAATGTACTTTAAAAATTTCCCTTCTTACCCACATATACACTAGATTTTGTAGGTCATTCTCATTAAAGAGTCATCACATACATGTCCTGCCAATGGAACCAGGACTTTGGAAATTGAGAAGACAATTCCAGACACTTGAAAATGGCAAAGCCAAAGGATCTGTAACTCAGGATTTTTACCCTCTCTTAGCTTCTATATTGCTTTTTCTCTGAGTATCTTCATTTTTATGTCTTCCTCCATCAGCAGTTTTCAGTGTCTGGTGTCTTAAGAATTTTGGGGCCAGATTATCTTGCAGATTTATAGGCCTTTGACTCAGCATCCCAACCTGATCCATTTTGCTGTGGTGAGGTAGAGGGATCACATGTATAAGTATGGTGACCTGTGCTGAAGGAGTGATTCAGTAAGGGAGCATTGCAAGCTCTGGAGCCCCAGATAGGACTCCAATTGGTCTGCTCTTCATTGAGGCACCCCTGAGGGCCCCCAAAATGGTAAGAGAGGAATTTTGGAGGAACACAGCTGGAGTTAAAATCCAAAACCCGCAGTTCAGAGAATCAGGAAATAGGATACAGACAGGGAGGGATGGATGACGAGGCATTTTTCCTTCCCCTTGGTCTCTAAAGGGCCCAGCTGGGACCTTCAGGCAGAATATCACAGAGAGGGCCAGAAAAAGAAGTGAGACCTTTGGGGTGAGAAAGCTTGACCAAGCTTAGGAGAGCACAGAATTGGGTATAATTCTTTATTTCCTGCTTTCTCTAAATCCACTGCAGTATAGCTTCTGCTTCTATAATTTCTTAGAAAAGATTTTGGCTTGGCACAAAGGTAAGAAAGTGGAGGCAACTTTCAAATAATTAGAGGAGAGATGAGTCCCGTAACTGAGGGAAGGAGTTGAGGATGGGCAAGTATGCAGAAAGGCGTAGAGTGAAGATAGGGCAAGAGGGAGTTCAGAAAGCTCTACATGAAGTAGTAGTTCACTCTACAGCTGAGGGTAGGGCAGAGAAGCTAGTGGGAAGGAAGTATGAGACAGCAGTAATTGGGAGAGGTGACAAGGGTGGGGGTGGGGGTAAAGATATCCAGAAAGGGCTAAAATCCCAGTGTAGGCTGGTGACCATGAAATTCTAGTGTCATCAGTAGGGGTTTCTAAGCTCCAGCAGCACTTGTAATATAGGTGAAGACTCAGAGAAAGCACTGTTGGGTTCATCCAGAAATGACAAAATAATGGGGAGACTAGCACAAAAGTGAGTGTAGTAAGGGACCAGGGCATCCGAACTGGGTTGGGAGGGAAGTAATAGGAAGGGCACAGGGGTCAGTGGCCTGGAGGTCCTCATGAAGATATCTGAGGAGAGATGAGATGGAGTACCATAGAAGAGGAGGAATATTGTAGCTGTATTTGTTTCTTAAGGCTGTTGTAACAAAATAAGGGTAGCTTAGAACAACAGGATTTATTGTTTTACTGTTCCAGAGACCAGAAGTCCAAAATAAAGGTGTTAGCAGGGCCATTCTCCTGAAACCTATTGGGAGTCCTCTCTTGCCTCCTAATTTTTGATGGTTTGGCAACAATCTTTGACATTCTTCACATATAGATGCACCATTTCAATTCTCTGTCTCATAAGGCATTTTCCCTGTGCATCTCCATACCCTACTCCTTTTGTGTCTGTTTTTATCCAAATTCCCTTCCTTGTAACCCCAGTTATATTGGATGAGGGTCTACCCTTCATCATAACTTGATTGCATCTGTAAAGACCCTATTTCCAAATAAGATAACATTCTAACATACTGTGAGTTAGGATGTTATGTCTTTTTATTTTTTTTTGGGGGGGGGCGCAATTCCACCCATAACAGTGAAATGATAAGATGGAGAAGTCAGCAGGTTTGAGAGTATTAAAAGCTGATAGGGCAGGGCACGCTGGCGCACATCTGTAATCCTAGCAGCTCAGGAGGCTGAGGCAAGAGAATTGAGAGTTCAACAAAAGCAAGGTACTAAGCAAGTCAGATCTTGTTTCTAAATAAAATACAAAATAGGGCTGGGGATGGGGCTCAGTGGTTAAGTGCCCCTGAGTTCAATCCCTGGTTAAAAAAAAAAAAAAAAAAAAAAAGAAGGCTGATAGTATTCATCTGTGGACATGAGGGTATCCAGCGGGTAGTCTGGAGGAAAAGTCACTAAAGATCAAGTTAATTAGGAAGCAGGGTCAGGGGAGGAGCATCCAGGTAATCAATGGAGTCATCCAGAATGGAATGTGTTGACCATTCTCACACTTGCCCTAGAGGCAGCATATATAGCTTCATATTTGTTATCCTTGAAATGGCATACATAATATAGTATTACATGCTTCCCATATTCAGGCAGGTACCAAGTCCTGCCAATTTTGCCCCCAAGGTCTCTATCTTCACAGCCTATGTTGGTTTGTGCCCCTCAGTATCTTCCAACAGTCTCCTGACTGGTCTCCCTGATCTACTTTCCTTGATCACCCCTCCAAACCAAGCCACTAGCTGTTCCTTTGTTTAGAATGCTCTTACTCAGAGACCTGTATAGTTATCTCCCTCCTTTAAGTCTTTACTCAAATGTTGCCTAAATGAAGCCTATGTGTCCACTCCAGTTAAAATTACAGGCCAGAACTTTTGTTTTCTCTTATCCTGTTTTTTAAAATGTATTCTTGACCTTCTAAATATAATTTGCTTCTTTTTTTTCAGAGATACACACAAGAGTTTATTTGTCAGAACTGACAAATAATGGCCATCTCTCTATAGACCGAGAGAGAGGCGATAATTTGCTTCTTTTTAAAAAAAATATTTATTTTTTAGTTATAGGTGAACACAATATCTTTATTTTATTTTTATGTGGTGCTGAGGATCGAACCCAGTGCCTCACACATGGTATGAGAGCGCTCTACCTCTGATCCACAATCCCAGCCCCAATGATTTGCTTCTTAAAAATACTATATTTGTTTATTGTCTTCCCCTAATGAGAATATAAGTTCAAAAGGTCAGGAGTCTTTGTTTTACTCATTGATGAAACCTAGGAATCTTGAACATCACTGGCACATAGTAGGTATTCTATAAATATTTAACGAGTGAATGAATAAATACTAAGCTTCCACATGTGTAGCCATACCCAAATCTGATCCTGTCAATCCTCTGCTCCCTTAGCTTCCAATTCCTAGATTAGAGGACAAGATTCAACTGTGTTCACTGAATGGTCTTAAAGGATCTCATTGTTTGGCTGCCACCCATGACTCAGTCCCTCTTTGGCTTGGTCTCCTTGGATCCTGGGTTCTGATCACATGAATGCCTCATCCTTCCCAAGCACCATTAAGATTTTCCTCCTCTGAGTGTTTGCCCTTGTCATTCTGTATGTTTGAAACTCATCAAGAGTATTCAGAGGACACCATGGCTAGCCTCTGAAAACTCCTTCAGAGCCTACCTTCCCACTCCCTACTACCTGACTGGACCCCATCCTATATCTCAGAAATTGGACCTTTTTGCTGGGCATTTGGCTTCCCCATTTCTCCTTGCTTTGGGTAGATGTTCTGGTGGCACTGTTAAATATGGCCACAAGATGGTAG